TTGTCAACGTTTTATGGTTATAGAAAACGCTAATATAGCCATACAGTAAAAATTTCATATATCTACGGTCATTAGTTTTAGAGTTACACAAGAAACCAAATTCGTTTTTCGTGTAAAAATTTCAATTTATCAGAAATGTTACATTGGCATTTGAACAAGGCCATGTATCCGTCAATTAACGAAAAATATTAACTACTTACAACCTTCATAAAATATATTTAAAAAGTTTACTGTGAATAAAATAGTAAAATTGACTTTATAAAGTAATATAATTTAGTATACATTATTAAATAAAAATTGTGTTTGTTGTATTCTGTAGATCCCACGATAAAAATAACTGGCTGGTAGATCACAAATTAGATCAATGCTAGAAATATGTAAGTTGGGTTGGCGTAAAAACGAAATGCAGTTTTGGTGTTTTGGTTTTTTAATTTTTTTTTTATTTTATTAAAATAAAAGTAAATATGAAACAATCAGACGTTTATATGATACCAATTTTGTTCGCAACATCTAATGCATCATAATCCCGTGCTAATCGTACATACGCCTTCTTTTTACCGTCGGGCCTAAAAATGAAATATTAATTATTAGTAAATACAAAATAACAAAGGGCTGTTGTTTTTAAAAATATCAAGGCCATAATTTTAATAAAAACTATCAGTACAAATGTTCAACCATTTATTACAAGTATTACAAGTAATATCTGATATTCTCAAAGTCATCATGTAATTGAAACAATAATTGTTTGAATAAAATAAGTATTTATCTATTAAATTAAAATAGCTAGTGAGTGATCAAAATTTATTATCAGACGGATATTTGTCAATCATTTTGAATATCTGAGAGATTCTCAATAAGTCATCATATAACAGAGTAATACTTATTATACTTAGTTTTTTGATTAACAAAATATCTAGAGTGGTGTACACAGTAAGTTCATTATTATAAATTATAGTAATATAATTATTTTTATACATTTGATCAAAAACTATCAGCACAATTTTTTCAATCATTTATTACAACTAATTGTAATATCTGATATTCTCAAAGTCATCATTTTATTTAGATAATTATGATCTTTTTTATAATATATAGAGTACCTAATTCATATTTTTAAATCAGATAGAAATATGTCAATCATATAATTTTGAAAATCTGAGAGATTCTCAATAAGTCATCATATTATGCATTATGCTGGTAAAACATTATAAGTTAACATTAAATAATAAATATGTAGTACTTAAAATACAAATATTACATAAATAGTAAAATAATATAATTAGAAATTGTCAGTTAATAGTTGTATCAATCATAAGATTAATTATAATTTTTCTGAGAGATTCTCATTAAATCATCACACAACTTCTAAAGGTATAATAAATAACATAAAAACTAAAATGTTGTGAATTACCTGATCAAAGTATTGACTTTGGCCACATTGATATCGTACATCTTTTTAACTGCAGCCTTTACATGATGCTTATTGGCACGCAAATGTACAATAAAGACTAAAGTGTTATTGTCTTCAATTTTTTTCATTGCAGATTCAGTTGTCAAGGGGAATTTGATTATATTGAAAGCATCCATCCTAATTATTGAAACATATGTATATTAGAGAGAATATTCAGCAAATTATAATTTCTATTATTAAACAGGAATAGGTAACTAATTTACCTATTTCTCTTGGGAACAGATTTCCTTGGGTATTTCGGGTTCCTCGGTGGCTGGAAAGTCTTTGGACGACGGAAGTGGACGGAATACCTGATCTTACGAATTCTAGTCCCATGAGGTCCTTTTAAAGTCTAAAAAATAAATAGAATTTAATTTAATATCAGTATGGGCAGTATGTGCGTGGGTTAGAGAGAACACAAATATTGCACTGAAATCCTACTTTCTAGTTATAAGAATATTTATAATAATCAACTTTAATTTACCCTAATTTTGGACTTCAGTGCTTTCTTTACAGCATCACGTTTTGATCCAACTTTAACACCTTTAGCACCCTTGGCACTATCAGCTTTCTTTTCTTTCCTGAGCTTAGCGGCAGCAGCAGCAGCAGCACCCTTGATCATTTTTTTAGCTGCGGCTGATTTACCCTTGAGTGGTCTCTTGGTTTTATCAGCAGCTTTGGTTTCTTTTTTATCTCCTGTCTTAGGTTTGGCTGCTGACTTGGGCTTGTCCTTCTTAGCTACAGTTTTTTTAGGTGCTTTGGGAGCAGCTGGATCAGCTGCCGCTTTCTTGGCTGCTGGGGCAGTTTTAGGTGCATCAGCGGCCTTCTTCTTGGTTGCTTCTTTTTTGGCCTTTTCTGGCTCCTTTTTAGATTTGCTATCAGCAGCTTTGCTAGCGGTAGATTTTTTAGGAGCAGGTCCAGGCTTTTCAGTTTCTGTAGATGGTCGTTTGGTACCTTTGTCTGCACTCTTACCCTGTTTAGATTGTTCAGCCTTCTTGGAAGATTCAGCCTTAGCTTTAGGTTCATCCTTCTTCTTATCTGCTGGTTTTTTGTCAGCAGCTGCTGGTGCAGATTTTTTGTCTGCTGGTTTCTTTTCAGGAGCTGGTTTTTTTTCAGGAGCGGACTTCTTTTCAGGAGCTGGTTTTTTTTCAGGAGCAGATTTCTTTTCGGGAGCTGGTTTTTTATCAGCTGCAGGTTTCTTGTCTGCAGATTTTTTTTCAGCGGGCTTTTTGGCATCAAGTAAAGGAGCTGGTGCAGGTTGCTTCTTTTCTGGTTTCTTTTCAGATGAAGCAGCTGCAGGCTTCTTTTCACTACCTGATGGTTTTTTATCTCCACTACCACTGCCTGAAGCAGCGGGTTTGGCTAAAATAAATAATGAAATTATATAATAGATCATTTTTAAATAACATTGTTAATATATTTATATGAGATAAGGTAGTTGAAATTGATAAACTATGAAATAAGACATCTCTAAGTGTACTAGATATTAAAAAGTATACTTAATTTCTTCTTAAGCAATTTCTTATTACTTAATTCATATTATAAGGCACATATTATTCTATAGTTAAGACAAATTGTAATTTTTCAATAATAAAACAATTTATTTTCTACATTATTATTCTACAATTATAAGCACAATTAAATACAAGTGAAGAAAATAGAATGTTTGTATGAAAGACTTGGATAAGTATTACACAGGAAAGTATCTTAAACAATAAAATGCATTTAGTTTAGACTAAAAATACAATTATAGTGTAGGTATCTACAACAAATTAAAAATACAAATATATATTATATAGGTCGGTATAAATACATATTAAATGCTATAAGAAAAAAAGTTTTTGTTTTTAAAAGTAAAGCTGAGAATAAATAAAAGTTTGAATTCACTAAGGTTTGGTATTTTTAATAGAGCATATAATGGTACTCAAAATAGCATGCGATGTAACTTTTTTTTTATTAATTTTTGGTTGTAATTGATGCATGATAATAACGAGAAATCTACCACAGCATGTGTTTAACTTTCTGCAATTTTTTTTTTTAGCCTCATTAAATTATAAATTTTCAAAAATAAACAAGATTTTCACGAAGAAAAATTTGATACAGAGGAATTTTGTACAGACTCAAATCAAAGTCAGAGTGTGATAGGTAGATTCCTTGAATTTTGCTGGTATACCACACTTATTATTGAATTAGAATGTAACGATACACTACAATTTCTTCCTTGAAAATCCTGAATGTTACAATAGTTTAACTAGGCAGCATCTTATCGTTTGAGTTTGTAGATTTTTATATTTTTTCTCAGACTCAATCATGGATGTATCATACAATTACAGAACTTCCATTTTAGTTACTTTAATGTCTATGTAGGTTGTTAGAATAAATAAGAGGAGTGTAGTAAAATTAAAATGCATTAGGTATGTACTAAGCAACCAAACCTTGCTAATTTATAATTATACCATCGAAATTCACAATAAATTATAGAAAAAAACAATAACAATGTAATATCTAGAAGATGTTTAAGTAGTAGATGAACAAAAAAGTTGGTTCAGAGTACTGAGTACTTGTATGGGGAAATTGAAATTATTCATTAGACACTAATAGTTACTGTCACGAATACTTCAATCGACATTAAATAATGACGTATAGCACATCAATGAGACTTGGTATTTTAGTAGGCACGCAATGACAACATTCCGAACGAATTTATTAAAAATTTTTCTTTGTGATTTGTGACTGACCGAGAAAATAATTTAGTGACAGGCCATGTGCTTATAGTGACTGTACAAATTGGATTGTCGAATTTTCATATAAAATATTTATTTCAGCTTTAGTGTAGTAGTAATATAATAAACAAGTGTATAATTACCTTTTTTTTCGCCTTTAGGTGGCATTTTACCGGAATATAAAATATTAAAAGATGTTGATGTAACTAAATGAAGTAACGCGAACACAACTTTTCAGTGAAAGAATCAAGGAGAGAAAATTGTCGATTTGTTTATAACCTCAATTGACCGTAGTCGGTGACGCGCAGATACGTCAAGGAGGACATAAACTGGACTACTATAACAATATGAAAATACATAATAAAAGTAATTTTATGGAAACAAAATATAATAAATTGATAATGTATATTTTAATTAAATGAATTTGTTGTTTAGTTACATTATAAATACATTTTGCTCATTAAATAATAAACTTCATTAATATTCTAAATTCTAATTATTTGTAAGAGTACTTTGACGATTTCCTTATCATTTAACTAGTTATCAAATATTTAACAAAGTTTTGAAGTGATAAAACTGATAAGGCAATTTCATAGTTTTAAAAACAACATATTTAGTATTTATTATTTAGTTTTGGAATAAATTGTTTGTGAAAGTTATTTTCAATCTTAATTATTTTTATGCTTAATTGAGCACTAATGAGCAGTTACATTTACAATTAGGTGGTATCGTCAAATCATTGACGAAGATGTTTAAACATTAAACATTTAATTTTAGTTTTTCAGCATTTGGTTATTTGCTAAATATTTTAGTGAAACCTGAACATTATGTTTTCGTTAAAAACATGTTTTTGCGTTCTACATTTTGTGTTGTTGTGGGTATCAACTTTAGCTAGTGAAAAAGGAACTTCATTTCAATTACAGGAACATAGTAAGTAGTTCAATAAGTCTAATTTAGTCATTGAATGACTAACATTTAACACCATTGTATACCTTTCTGTATTATTGTATAGTTAGTTTTAGTTAATAATATTAAGATTAAACATTTTAATACTGAGTTATTTAAGGATTTAAAGTAAAATAACAACGACTTATTAAAATAGGTCTATGCAAAATAAGAATTATCATTGAAATATCAAACTGTTATTCAGTAATTAAGTAAATGGCTGTAAAAAAAAAAAAAAAAAATACAGCGCCTAAGTTTAAGTGGCTAAAAATAAATATTTTCAACTAAAACATACAATACTTAATTAATTATATATTATGCTGATTAAAGAATAATTATCATAAGTTATACTATTGATTATAAATAGTAAATACTAGTATTTATAATCAATGGTTATACATAAACATTGAATTGTGTACTTATTTAGCACTTAATAATATAAAATGAATACATATTATAGCCAACTATATAAGTATCACATAATTTCAAAATTTATAATTTATAATGCTTAAAATGCTTTATACATTTGATATAGAATATTGATAATGATACTCATTTTATTTTCAGATTTACCAATGCCAGTTGATGTTATTAATGTAAAATCTACTGATAACTCGGATAAACACAAAAAGTTAGTTCAAATTGTAATTTATTGATTAATTAAAAAATATATACTTGGTATATAGTGTGTACAAACATGAGCATATAACTCTATCAAAAACAAAGACATAACTGGAAGGTGATAGCCGAGAGGCAAGAATAACTTTTGAGTTGTGTTTTTGATTTACAAAAAGTATATATTTGTTAACAATATGATTTTGCTGATTTAAAGTTTTACTTTTTACTAGTATACTTAAAATGTATTCATTTTTATAATTTTTATTTTTATTATTATTAAAAACAAACTATTTTTATTGAATCTTTGTTAGAATAGTGAAAGATTTACTTTTATTTTATAGAACATTTTTTAGTTAAATAAATTTTAATTTATTTTAATGTGTGAAAACTTAATGATATGTAAACTTGTATTGAACATTAAAATCTATCTTCTTATATTCAAAAGTTAGCAATATATTATAATATAATATAATTTTTGCATTTTTCATGTTGTTTGATGAATTTAATTTTTAAATTACAGATGGACTGGTAGATATTTACCTGACCGTTCACATGAAGAAAATTATGGTAGTATCTCGAGAATTGTTACTGAAAATGAAGATTTTGCTGTGATAGAGCCTATGCATATTGTGCCGGAACAAAAGAAAAGCATGGTAACAATGGGATCAATGGATATCAATTCTACATGTGATGATGGAAAGGTTTTGTTATAATTTATATAATTATATTCATAGTTTATTAATACACTAAAATTTGCTTAAGACTTTCCCGCATAAGACCCTATTTTCCGTCAGTCCCTAGTCAATGTAAAAACCACCTGTTAAGACGCTCGGTTTTTCTCTATCTCATTGGATAAAACGCTCTTTTGTTTAGCAGATTAAGATAAATTTTAGTAGGTTTGTGAAAATAAAAATAGAAATTTTAGTTGATTACGTGTTCTTATTGTTGTATTGTTTTATTTTATCGCTATACCTATTTTATCATTACCTATTATAACAATTGTACTGTATTTCATCGTATTATGAAATTTAGTAAGTCGTTTCCTTTTATCGCTATACCTTATTTATCATTACCTATTATAATTCGAAAAGTATTATCCTCTGTAGAAAATTCTGAAGAAATGTTGGGTTGTCTAAATAAAATAGAAAACTTTCTTGCTGAAATGCATTGTCAGCATCGTAAACAAACAAAAATATATCAATTATTTAAAAACAATATTAAATATTTAATAAAAATTTTTTTAAATTAAATTCAGTAGCAAAAAATATATGTATGTATGTAATTATAGTTATTTAAACTATACTATATAACTTTATTTATTTATTAGTGGATTGCCCGTTAAATTATGTTCAATAATTTATAAATTAACTCCATATTTCAATCACTTCATTTTTATTCATTCCCGCATTAGACGCTTTCCCGTTTAAAATGCTCAAGAGAGGGTCCTACTCGAGTTTTACTGTACTTTCAATCATAGGTGTCACTTGGCTCTAATTGTTGGGGGGGGACGGAGGGGGGCAAAAATTAACCACAAATCACTGACCCATTCAAAATAATAATTTTGCCTTCTCAAGATTTAGATATTACAATAAGAATATTATGGTATAATTAACTTTAATTTGTTCATCAATAGGAACATTACAAAATTTAACAAAGATTCATTATTATTTATTTATATTATTTTAGACAAATTTGACAAGAGATTGGGATGGATCATTTTATAATTATACTTGTATGTTGAGTGATACTTTACCAATATCAGATATTCAACCATTATTGGATAGAGATCTAGTGCCTAAATATTATGTGGTAAATATTATTAAAAATATAGTATATCATTATAGAATTTTGCTATTAAATAAGGATTAAAAACAACAACATTATTTTTCAGATTTATACATTTTGCCTTGAGTTTGGCTAATGGTGGTTTTGGGCACTCTTGCTCACAACTAATTAATAGTAATAATAACAATATTGCTGGTCTAATAGGTGGCATATTTACTTCAAGTATATGCCATTAGACAATATAATATGTAGATTGTAGATTTAATATTATGTTAAAATTATTAAACATTTTAAATTATTTTAAATGCTTATTTAGCCCAGCATCATTTAAAGTTTAAACATAAATGTACTAAAAATATGAGAAAATTAAAATTATCATTGTAATTATAATTAATACATAAAGGTTTTGCCCATATACTCGTAGTATTTTTTGTGGTATTAAATTTTGAAAGAAATCGTACATTTTTGCTTTTAACAAATTATTCTCATTGGAGATCTGCAATTAATATCACTAGGCTGGGATTTCAATGCAATAAGTGTAGTTAAGGACATTTTTTAAGGGGAGGATCAAATTCTCAGCCCTAAATATCGCACTGTGTTTTTTTTTTTAAATGTTTGAATGTTATCTGTTGGTTTTTTTTATTTGGCATTATGTTATAAACATTTAACGCTATTAAAAAATAGTTTGATGTATGTTATGTATCTAACTCTAGCCCACGACAGAACATTATATCATCTCGCACATGCAGAATTCAATTTAACATAATATCCTTAATAGACAATAGTCACCTACTTAAGAGGATGTTAGCGCACTATTTGTTTTCTCTCTCTGACCCACGCGCAACATAGACAAAACACATTTACGCAGAAACATTTTTTCTATGTTTTTAAGTAATCTTAGAGTAAAATCACCCATTACCAAAAAGATAGAGAATAATATTTTTGAGGGAATGTCATATCGATTTGTGTAATATTGTCTCAAAACAATTTAAACATCATTTTAATGTACAACTTTTTTTGTTTATTTTGAAAGTCGAATACAAAGTCAAAATAACAATAAATATTAAAATCGATATGACATTCCCTCAAAAATATTATTCTCTATCTTTTTTGTAATAGGTAATTTTACTCTAAGATTACTTAAAACATAGAAAAAATGATTCTGCGTTCATGCGTTTTGTCTATGCTGCGCGTGGGCCAGAGAGAGAAAACAAATAGTGCGCTGACATCCTCTTAATGACGATGTACATTGGACATCTAATGTACAAAAGAGAGGTTTCTAATTTTCTATTACATATTTAAATTACAAATGTTAAGAGATTGAGAAATTACGTATATTTGATGGTATTGATTGTTTTCATTTCCGATTTATCCAAAATAAAAAACTGTCGCGCACTGCTAATATTTTCCCCGGAAAAAAACGCAAAAATTTCTGCATCAGCCGGGAATCGAACCCGGGCCGCCCGCGTGGCAGGCGAGCATTCTACCACTGAACCACTGATGCTTGCTGTATACTCCTGCGAAACTTTATGTATTTATTATGAATTAGATTTTCTAAAATATTGTATGTTTAAGAGAACGTCACATCCGCATGTATTGTCTGCCTCATACAAACGCGTAACATACCGAATTTACACTCAGAAATTCAAGTTTTATACCTTTAGCTTAAAAATTAGAGTGAATCGACCTATTATGAAAATTGATGGTAAGAACATTATTTGTGTTTGTATGTTGGGTTCTTACGATATTTCAATGCCCATAACTCACTAAAAACTGAATTATCGTAAAAAAACTTTTAACAAAACACAGATAATGTTCTTACTATCAAGTTTTATTATAGGTCGATTCACTCTAATTTTTAAGTTAACGGCATAAAACTTGAATTTCTGTGCGTAAAATTTGGTACTTTACGCGTTTGTAAGACCAAGACAATACATGCAGGTGTGGCGTCCTCTTAAGTCACCCGGGCATTTCTTGTCTCCGTCTTACAACCATACGAAGGTCGAAGTTGCAAATTGTACGTTAACAATAACACATTTTACTTTGTAATTTCTGAAATTAGAGTGAATTTACCTTTTATACATTAAAGGAAAGAATATCTAGGGCATCTCTGAGGATTTTATTGATATTATTATTTTAAAGTAAGTTATGATAATTATAAAATTTACAAAAAACATTTAGTTTAAAAATGCTCATAAATAGCTTTAAATATCAAATAAAGGTTTCAAGATGCCCTAGATAATATTCTTACCTTTACATTTTATAAGTAAATTCACTCTAATTTTAGAAAATACGGAGTAAAATGTGTTATTGTGAACTTAAAATTTGCCATGTTGTATGTTCCTAACAACAAATGTGTGGCATTATTATAATTATTACAATGTGGTATATTATAATATAAGTTTTAGCGTGATGGCGTGTTTGGAACTTGATGTTTAATCAATATATTATTCTTTTTCAGGCTAATCATGTGTGCATGAAAGAATCAATATCTTACAATCATGATATTCCCTCATTGTAAGTGCCTATACTCATTTGCATATTAAAATGTTTAACTTTTTCTATACATAACTAAATCATAAATACCTTTAAGATATCTAAGTGACATTTTTCGAAATAACATATCATATGATATATTATTATATTCATCATTCAAAATCTTAATGAAAAAATCATTGATAAAAGTAGATTGTCTTTAAGGGATAAACAAAACAATTTTATTGGATTTAGGGTTTTTATTTATTCTTAAACAATTTTTTTTTTTTTTATTATTATTTTACAATAAGGTACTCTTAGCTTTCGCTATCTATACCTAGAGATATAAAGCACAAAGTAATACATTTTCGAATGTTAAGTGCGATAATGAAGATACATACAAATTTTAAGTTAGGTGATAGTAACAATATTTAGAGGCTTAAAATTAGCGTAGACTGTTTCTTGAGGAATTAGGATATGTGAGCGTCCACGTTGCTGATGACTAGTTAAAAGTTTAACGTAATATAATGATAATATTATGTGTGTTTTTTAATTTTTGATAGTGGTTCACATCGTCCTGCTTGGGCCAGATATGGCGAATATAAATTTTTGCCAAAACAAAGATGGTTACACAATTTAGAGGTATGTATCACACCAGTTGCTACTACAATTTAATTATTCTATAGATATATTGAATAATATAATATATAATGTCTTATATTTTTTTTCAGCATGGATCAGTAGTAATGTTATATCACCCATGCACTCATCCAGTTTTAGTCCAACGTATGCGAGCAGTTTTGAAGTCATGTCTTTTCAGACATATTATTACTCCGTATAATTTGGTGCCTGAAGATAGGGTTCGTATGATACATATCTGTCCATAATCAGACTGGACAGAGGAGTTAGAGAGATATACAGCGTGTCCCGTGAGGATATACCCATTAGCCGAAGGGAGGACTCACCACCTGAACAAAAACCGGTTTTATTCTGTTTTACCTATAAACTAAAAAATGATTAAAAATCATGAGATTAATGAAAATAAAATGTTCAAAGGTCAAAATAAAAATTAAAAATTAAAAAATTAAATATATGTATTCCTTGTCTCTGTGAGTCTAGTAAAAAAATAAAAAAAAATATGATCAATTTATTATCTTAGGAGATGTCTTAATGGCTAAATCCTCTTGGGACATCCTGTATATCATTGAGCCGGTAAAAATAATAAAATTATGAGCTGGACTGATTTGACTTAAGATTGAGCAAGTTACTGCTGGTTAAATTTTTGATTGGCACAAAAACTACAAATTTGTATATTGGTATAGGTAATAATTAATGAAGGGCATTCTAACATCCTTAAAAATTAAAAATAATTAAGTTTAAACAAATTGAAATGAAATACATTTGGAATTGACTGTAAATTATTATTTAATTTTATGTAATCATAACTATACGATAGTCTACAACATATTTTTCTCAAGTTGCAAATATTTTACTACAAAAACTATGATTGGAAAATTGAATACATTGTGAACCATTTTCAAATCTTTACTAATAAGAGCCAACACTCATACCATTATTTATGAAAAAGTCTGCATTGCAAACAAGTTTTATTAAATCAAATTAGTCAATTTTAACTTAATATCAATAGTTTTTATATACACATTTTTTAAAAAGATGTTGTCAAATTGAAATTTTTCTATAAATTAATCATAAAAAGTCATATCTACAAAAAAAATACTTTTCCCTTGTCCTCTGAGTGTGTGATTATATTAGATAAAAATTCAGTTAAAAATTGTATTTACTTTTTATTTTAGCCAATTGTCCTTGTCACTTGGGGTAACAGACTGTACATGAATGATGTTGATACCAAACTAGCAATAGATTATATAAAGAAGTATGCAAATCATGCTAAGGAAACCACAGCCAGGGATGGACAATACGATCATTTATTGATTGAACCGGCAGAATTAATTTCACCAGATGATATAAATATTTGCCCTACCCCACACAAACGCAAAAATAGAATATAATTTATGTTACACTGGCTTTAGTATAATATAATGTCCTCAGGTATTAAGATACCTACTTCAGATTTGTTGAACTATTATTATAGAGTCACACAAGTATACTGTTTAATGTGTAGTTTAATAATTTAAAAATCAATTTTATGTTAAATGTTATTTTGTATTTAAACTAGCTAATCTTAAGATAAAGGATCAAATAATTTTAACAAGAATAATTTAGTTATTAATTTTTATATTATTTTTAATTATTTCAAATTAAATACATTTTTTATTGACTAACCATATTAATCTGTTCCAAAAAACATTTGAATAACATTAATACTTCTATTCTTTTAATATTTAATGATCTGTATAAGAATCTTTAAATTAATATTTCAAGTTCTAACAAGTTACTAGAAATTCTAGACAAAAAAATATTTAGTATAATATATGTTTTTATGTAAGTCCTTTTTTTGTATGTTTATATCAAATAAAAGAAATATATTATTATATGGAACCAATTTTTTTTAGATTTGATCCAAATAAAACAATCGTAAAATAATACATTTCAAAGTTAACAGATAAAACAAACCCTATGAATATACTTTTAGTTTATGATTAATTAGCAATTTATTCAAACATTTATTCATAGTTTTAAATTTTAATCATAATATCTCATTTTTTTTATTAAGCTTAATTGAGACTCAAATAATATCAAATTGATTATTTGATTCAAATATTGAATAATAAAATCTATTTGTAAAATTATTTTCCTGGTTTGGTGATGACAATTATAAGGTATATTACTGAATATTTTTGTTGTTTTCCTTCTTTCCTCGACTAGTTTTGTAATCAATTATCACTAATTGATAATTTTGTTGATTACTCATTTTGATTTATAACGTTGAGTTAGTTTTTGCGCATTGCGAGTAGAATTTTAGTTAAGAAAAAATAATGTGTTAAAACTGGTTAATCAGGGAAGAGACAGAAGTGGTAAGATTGTTTCCATAAAAATTATATTAAAGTTGTTTTTCATTAATATTTAATATATTAAATAAAATATGGCAACCTTATATGTTATACATCAGGCTCCATACTAGCTAAATTTGAGCGAGCTCAATCATGGTAACTACCAACTACTGTAATCAGAGACTTTTGGATTGGCCCACCAGAAATTCAAAAGTTTACTGCCCCCTATGCAATAAGTGGTTTTAATTTTATAAGTATTTAATCACTTAAATAAAATTTTTGTGTGATTGGATATTGCGGTGATGATATGTAATTATCATATCTGCCTAGTTAATGTGTTTGATGTTCAAAGTGTGAAATCAATGGTCAATTTATTTTGAATAGTGAAAAAAAAAAATTTTAAATATTACTACATCGGCCCCAAATTATAAATTGTTGGAACAAACAATTGTTGTTAAGTAAAACTTAAACGAAATTAAGTTCCTATATTGCAACTATTAAATATTTTAGACCAATTCTAAAACTGTGGAAGGTATTGAATATTCATTAGGTTTAAATCTATTTAATGATATATTAATAGGTATGATATTACACTTTAGTTTTCCCAAAAACCAAGTGTAAAGAACAAATCTTACTGTGATAAATCATGCGAATATAGTTATTTGTATTATTTTTCTGAAACGGTTTCAACTACTTGTAATCAATTACAGTGAACGCTAATACAATTTGTTTGTTTATAAACAGTGCCAGTGTTGTATAAAAGCACTTTTAAAAAGTATTTGAGTAGTATATTTTAATACATAAACTGTTAAAAAAAAAATTTGAAATATTACCAAAAAAATTTTTTTCTTATGTACCTATTTAAAATTTAAGTATTAAATACTATTCACTTTTATCAATTAGTAACAAAATTGTATTAACCTACACATGGGTTTTTTTTTTCATCAAACTTCCTCAGTATTAATAAATATTAAATGTTTCCATCAAGAAGTTAACAAAAGCTGATCTATTTGCAATATTTTCCCACACCAAAATGTTTCCCTAATCCAATCTAGATTATAACCACATCAACAAAAAAAAACTGATGGTGCTGGCTTTTGGCATAATATATATATATTTTTATTTTTTAAAGTAGTATAAACTGTCCTGCACTCCTGCTATTTTCTCCTTTAGACCAAATTTAAACTACCCTTTTTCTTGAAGTCAACTTCTCCTATATTGATGCTTTATGATCTTTCCTTTAATAAGTAATAATGTTTCCCTATTACCCTAATTAAAGCTGTTGTTAATTTCATCCTCTTTATAGGTTCTAACATTTAAAACCTACCTATACACTTAATTAACAAAACTATGTTACGTACATCGATGTAGGTAACATAGTTTTGTTAATTAAGTGTACCTACTGATCAGTGAGGTACTTAGAACTGAATATCAGAGTGGGGATTCCCCCCCTCGTCAGTACTCTTCAGGCCAACATGTCTATATAAAAATAAAACTATAAAAGTGTGGAATTACAACTGTATTGGTGAACAATGGAGTTGGTAATTTGTTGAGTGTGGTCAGTTTAGGTTTTTAAAATTTTTCATATGAAAAAGGCCTACCTATGCATATCTTTACTAGTTGTACATATTTTATGAATCTTAAACGGATAGTTCAAATTTTGAAGTTTACGCTGAACTGGACTTCAAATATTTAATTCGGTTCTAAAATCTTAGTACCTATGGAAAAAATTCTAATAATCTAATTGTACTTTTGAGACTTAAGTACGAGTGTACGACAGTACCTACTACCTGCAGATTACTACGATAGGTACTAAGTACCTAATACTACCTATGATAGGCGCAATTTCAACTTTTGACTGGGGGGGGGGCTGAATATATTAAAGGCAAGCAGATCATTGCAATATGGCATATTAAAATTGTATGTCCTAGGTTTTTGGGGGCTATGGCTAAGTTTGGGGAGGCTTAGCACCCTCCCCCCAATTTGCGCCTATGCTACCTATGCGTTGAATTCAAAATTACAATTTGTGATTCATTTTAGTACGAATTCGGAACTACACAACGATTTACTGTAGATTGTAGTTTAAAAAATGTTCCTAATGTTTAGTTCCGACAAATATTTCTTTTATTCTGTTCATTTCTGTCGGTTTTGCTAACATAAGTCATAACAAAAATTTGGTTCTATAAAAATGTAAAATATTGTGACGGCAAAACATATGGTGAGCAGGTGTAGGAGCAACTAGGTACTTATCCGGTACCCCCTCTAAATATTTGACAGGATCACCATTCACCACCTATGCGTTTGAAGCTCAAATCCTCAAAAGGAACATTGTCAATATCAATATTAAACGGGTAGGCGAGAGTAATTTAAAATATTTAGAGCATCGTTTAAAGTCTTGAAAGCTATTAGGTACTAAATTCATATTGATGTCTATCGACACAAATAGCTTCAACAAATGTGACTGTTAAAATGAACATTTTGACCCTTCAATAAGATTTCGTCATTTTGGAGCTGGCAGTCGATTGTCAATAGTTGATACTCTGGTTGATTTATAGGATATTAATCATTTTAATATTTTAATTTTCCTTCACCCATTACCAAGTATTAATTGTATGCTTGGACTTTTGATTTTATATTTGGTATTGGCCTACAGTTTATAATGTAGGTATATTGATATATATATAAGATAGCTTATAAAAAATAATTTATGTTTTATTGTTTTTCTTAGACATTTAGGCACATTGTAAAATCAGACGACCATTTTATTATTATATACCTACCTAGGTATCTACTTAATATTATATTTACAGTTGGAACTAGGAAGTAATTTAACTTTTTAGTAACTATTATCACATTTACTATAATTTTATAAAACAAATAAATTAATATTGATATTATAATACAGTCAATAAGTAATATAGTACCTACTATTTGAGTGTCTCTTTCATACATAGGTACTTAGGTATAGGTACTTACCAATTACTCAAAGGTGAGCCATTTAATGAAAATCCTAATCTTAAATTAGTGAAGTAAATTATTAATAAATATAATATTTATTATTTAACTCTAAAACATTTATTTAATATGATGAAAAATATTAAATTAACTCACTTAAAACTTAAAAAGTGGTTTAATTTTTTTAATTACAACCTGAATCGTAGTATCGTACATATAAACATATTAAAGTGATTGTACAACTTAGAATTTTTTAAATAAAAACTAAGTAGGTAGCCATTCGTTTAGAACCCATAAATTCTTATTTCTTAGTTATTTCTATTCGTTCTTCTAATTGCAACTAGAAACTAGGCATAATACTATAGTAGACAAAAAAACCGGGCAACTGGCAAGTAGGTAACGGCGTAACGCTCTGTTGTACAGAAGGTAACCTTACGTTAGGTTAGGAGAGTTTTTGAGTAGGTCACGCTGTTAATGGATGTTTTTTAATTTGAATTTTATGATAAATCATGACAAACGATAAACGATTATGAGTGGGGATTTCCTATAATAGGTACTTACTAAGTATATTTTATTACTTATGTGGGACCTTGTGGCTTGTATTCAATTTTATAGATTTATGATCACCTAAACCTAATCAGTTTTATTAACAATTTAAAAAAATAAAAATTTCAAATCCCTTTAAATTACTTTAGAAATATTTAGGAATTACATTGATAGTAAAAAATGATTATTTAAGTTTCAGTAAAATGATCAAGTTTTTACGATTAATACCTTTTGAATTACATAAGGAAAACTATAATCATTTGGGGAGGCGTGGGAAATTGAAATTTTATAACAAATGCACGAATATTCAATTTCGTCGAAATATAAACTTCAGATAATATTATATTTGTAGAGTTAACACTCAACTTTTTTTTAATTCTAGTATAAACAACTTATGAGAAACTAAGTATTACATTTTCAAAAAAATCGTACATTTCAAATGTCCATTAATAGTTCAGAAAGAACCAAAAGATTTTAAAATCAAACCACGAGTAAAAAATCCTATTAGAGTTTAATGAAAATTTCAAGGAACTACGGTTTTTCATTTTTGAATTACA